ACATTTAAATTTATGTTTAAAAAGCATAAATTTGAATTTAGAAGTTAACGTGTCTCAGCATTTTTTATAATTTTGTAAAATAAACACACACCCAATTATATTCATTAAGTGGTTTTCATACTGTATAATTTAATAATTTCACGTTGTAATATTCATAATAGACCCTATAAATATTGTATAATTCGTTACATCACATCTTTTTGTTTTTTAGTTTTTGAGTTTTTAAAAATATAAAAATATACAGGGTGTTTCATTAAAAATAAAGCTTATGCATATGCACTATGCTAGGCTTGCTTGAAGCACCATGTACATTTAAATTTAGGTTAAAAAAGCGCACATTTATATATATATATATATATATATATATATATATATATATATATATATATATATATATATATATATATATATATATATATATATATATATATATATATATATAAATAGACAGGTCTTACCTTTTTTATAGATAATTTGTTAAAACCAGGACAGAAATAATTTTGTTCCATAAGTCGTTAGAAGATCTTTTAGACCATCTTAGACAATATCGTGCCCCCATCTTTGGATTTGTGCTTAAGTAGAATTAAGGAATTATTGTTTGGTTTTTACACAAGTCCTTGCATGTCCCATTTGCGTGCTCTATCTCTTGCTGACTTAAAACTTTTTCATATATATCTCTGTCGTTCCATTGGTTATCTCTCATATCCCTTTTAACATAACGTTGTATTCTTCGTTTATCTATGATCTCTCTTCCTTCTACCTATAGTATTTTATTGTATTAGTTTTTGTATCCATCTCTTTTCACTGTCTCTTCTTACATGTCCGTATGGCTTCTATCTTTTCATTTTTATATATGTTATTATTCTTTTCAAGTGATCTTCTCTGTACTATTTCTTCATTCCTTTTTTGCTCATTATTGTTACTTGACAGCATCTTCGAAGACGTTCCATCTCTTTGTAGTTACCTTGCTTCTGTTTCTTTTATTACTTAATCAATTTTTTGCACCGTATGTATTACTTGGCAGTCATGATTTAATATATCTGTCTTTCTGCTTTTCATGCTCGATTTCTAATCCAGCACATGTGATTCAATTGTCGAATTGTTCTGTTCTTGTAAACATAGTAAACCTCAAATACTTATTAAGGTAAGTATTAATTAAGGTTTCTAATTTATTATTACGTTTTCATTCTTCTGTAAACCTTTTATCTTCTTTTCTGTTGTATCTATTTTCGTGACGGTAATCTTGAGAACTGATCTAATATGTTCTTCTTATAGCGTTCTCATCATATAACTCAGATCTTTAGTTTGCAATTACTACTTAACAATCTATAAAACATATCTCTATTCGTTTTTTGCTGATAGCTTAATTCCTTCGCATATTTATCTCTCTGCATCCGTTAGATCATATTAATTCCTGTTCGCTTTTTTGTTCTTTGTCGCTTTTATAACTTTTTTTAATTTTCACTTCTGTTATTTCTATTTCTGAGACTGATTCTCCTTCTTTATGTTCCCCTTTTCATGAATTGTTCCAGTAAAGCTACTTAGAGTAGGCATTTCATTCTCTATTCTGAATATTTACGAGATTAATTTTTTCTTGTGAGTGTTATTTGAGTTCTTTTAATATTTTTCTGCGATCTCTCGAAGTTCCTGTTACCCTTCGGTATGTTTGTAGGTTTAAACAGGTCTGCTCTTATGATTCATTCTTTTATTTTATTAGTTCTTTTTTCACTTTTCTAATAATTTTACGAAATGACAACACAGGGTATTCACGCCTTCCTGAGTCCCGTATTCTAATAAGAATTGTTTTTGATAGGACTTGTCCCGTGCTATATCCTGGCAAGTCCATGTATCCAAGGCTATGACCTTGCCCTTGACCGGCTATTCTGTCGAAAGCTTCACTTTGTTCATCGTTCTAATATGATCTGGAGAATGATTTATTGGTTATCCACTAAAGATTATCACCATAAAATGAACTCAGATGTTCCTGAGGATTATTTTTCTCAGGTATTGAATTTTCTACCAAATTATGCTGTGCTTATGTTTTTTTTTTCGATAACTCTCTAGCTATCACTCAAAATTAGTGGACAAGTTACCAGCGGTGTTATGAAAAAAATAGTCATTATTAACTGCCTTCATTATTTTGCCACAAATTTAAAAGTTGCGTCTGATGCTGTTTAACTTTTATATTGACCCCCTCTGTGGCTCAGTGGTAAGAGCGCCTACCTTTAAATCTAAAGATCGTGAGTTCGAATCTCATCTGGGTGGAAATTTTCGTTTATTAAAAATTAATAAATGAAAATAATTTCTATCCTTGTGCGATCGGTACTCACCAGAGGCACCGCAGACGTTCGGATACAATTAGCGTCTCTTAGCAAAGACAATGACGTCGACTTTGCTAAGTATCAAGACAATTACTCTACACACACACACACACACACACACTACACTAGGTACCTGAATGTACCATGCCAATGATCATAGTTGTCGATGCATTAACCCAATAAAAAAAAAACATATTTTCTTGTACAAGCCTACGGTACGTAGGTATGTATATTTATATTTATTTACATTGCCTAAATGTTATATAGCTATCTAAATAAACATCAATACGATATGTCACTTTAACAATAATTTTATTTAACATAATTTTTCACCTCTAAAATCTGTTCCGTTTTGATGCTCCTACACTGGCCCTTTATTTTCACCAGATGCACTATCGTCATTTAAGAATCATTTAAATCAATCTTCAATTCTTCAGTAATTATATATATGCGACGTTCACTTTCCAAATACTTATTTTCAACCTTGACAACATGTTCACATACTTTCTTCCAGTTATCTACAGTTCTAACAAATTCCTTTTCCACCAACACTTTTACGTCTTTAAATAAACGTTTTGTATTGCAATTTCATTTTTTATTTGCGTCAAAACCATTTCTATAGGGTTCAAGTCTGGATGATATGGCGGTAGTTTTAAAGAAACATGTCCACATTCTTGCAGCACTTTGTCAAATTTATATTGAATATGATCATGTTTGTGTCGTTTGATGATTTCATACAATTACGGTTTTAACATTGACGTTACAAATGGTAAATTTTTTTCTGTCAACCAAGACATCATATCCATTTTTTTTTAGAATTACTGGTGGATGCTTTATTAATTTGTACATTATGATATGACGCATTATCAGTAACAACAACAGATCCAATAGGCAAATTGGGTGTTAACTGTTCGTTCATCCATTTTTCATAATTTTCTGAATTCATATCATCATGATAGTCTGCTGTCTTAGCTCCTGACTTAAAAATCAAAAGAGCATTCTGTATGAAACCCGTCTCCCCATCTACACGTATGATAAACCACCTACTTCCTTTGGAAATGTTTATGAAAAATCCTTTGCCACTGCAATGGATGTAATGTGTCCTGCATGTACATAGGTTTCATCAACATATACAATTGACTTAACTTCGCTTTTATTATATTTAATTTTGTCCAAATATTTAATGCGTAGAGCACGAATACCATTCCGTTCAATTAAAAAACGTCGATTATCTTTCGTTTTCTTCCATTTAAATCTAATATCTTTCACAATTCTGTAGAGTAAACTCACACTTCCAGTCCACTCGTACATCTCTTCAATCTTTTTCTGCAAAAGCTTTAATGATACACGACAACGTTCAGTCTGATGAAAACGATGAGATGTATTTCTAATGAATTGTTTGTCATACTCTCTCAAGTCTATCACGGTTGCTTTCCTTTTAGCAAGTGTTATAGCTGAAAATTTTAGTGTATTATTTGACTCTGCGTTTGTAAACATACTTGCTTGTTGAATGATCCTTTCTACTGTACGTAAAGATACTCCATTAGCTTCACTCACATGTTGTTTATGTTAATACTGGTTCGATTATCTTCAGGAAATATTATTTGCATATATTTAAATACACTGTAAACTATTCCTTTGAATTCTGTGTCAATCTGATCTGATCTATTTACTCTTAATACACTTAACCATCTCCATTCTACAAAATAGTTCTAATACGCGTGGTAGCACCTTTCTTGTGGAGACTCGACAACCTAATAAGACTAAATTACGAACTCGTTTGAAATTCAGTGACTAGAAATTCTCAGAAATAGTTCTTATCAGTTTCTTTGTATGTCCTTAACAAGTCGTTAAAGAGTCATTAATAATGACTTTATAATTACGATTTTAAGGTTACTGATACTAAATTAGAAATTAACCTTTACTAAACTTTACAGAGTATCAATTATTAAAGATGGTATTATAACAAACAAAAAGTTGAGTATCTATAAAACAATCTGAGTACAATCAAACTCCATTTATTATTTAAGTGAGTAATAATTTTGTAATTAGTGCGATTTCAAATAATTTAATTTGTTTAATATTGCAACGCCACTGCATGGGTCTGATCATAGATATTATATTGTCTGCGCGATTAACTGCTGTTTGAAGATTTTTGATGAATTGTATTTGTAATGAGTTGTCAATCGCAGAAATAGATTAAAAGTTTCTATAAAAGTGGATGCTAAGCCTCTTATTACCTCTTGATAATGTTTGATTTTATCCATCCTCAGTGGACCAATATGTTTGAGCAATTTATATAAATGCTTCAATATTTTTAATAACCCGGACGATAACAGCAGCATTTTTCGAAAGATCAAATGTATTATAATGGTTAAATTAACTTACAGTGTTGATACAATAATAACATCATTGGTATTCACTGTAACATAAATATTTTTTTTCTTTTTTCAACTTCTGTCAATATTGGGGAGTAATCATATTTAGTAATAATAGACACAACCCAGTTATGTTTTTTTTTTTATAAGATAATCAATAACAAACCTACATTAGTTGCTTATATATTCACATATATAGTTTATTTTCTTCTAGTTAAATCTTTTTCCAATTCAATACCAATAGAATTATTCTCTCGTTTATAAACTCAAGCAAAAGGTCATGTTATGTTAGATAAGTTCATTTTTATCACTCCTTTTTCGATTTATTAACACTTCTCGCAAAAACTTGAGATTAAACGTCCATAACGGTTCAATAGGCTTATTTATGTAAACTGTTTTTAATGTTTTGTATTTATTTCAGATATTGTTAGAAGATGGTTGCAAGTGTAGTGTTTTTCTTAGTAGTTTTAATGGGAGTCATGAATACAGAGGCTGTTGTCACGTAAGTATAAAGTTAGTATTAGCTAAATATTTCCAATACTGTGATAATCAAACAGATATTATTATAGTAGCAATTGTTTATGTATAAATAAGCCAAAATTATGAATTTCTGGTTATGAGTGTCAGAACCATTGTGAAATCTAAACAAGAAAAATGCAGATATAAATTTGTTATCTATATTTGTAATTACCGGAAAAACAAGCCTGCAGCTAATATTTTCCATTAATCAGATTGTTATTTGTATCATGAAATATACTTCTTCTTATATATTATGTTCCACAAGAAATAAGATTATTTAGATCGTGCGTTCCAAATACCTATATTTAATTGTGTCTGTGCCTATTGTGCCTATCACACAACATAAACTGGCAGCCTATCATAGTATTTTACATAGATTAATAGAAATTCTGATGTCAAAATTTTGCATTGAGACAAAATTAAATATCATTAAGCAAATAGCAGTAAACAATGGATACAACGAACAAACAAGTAATAAAATGTTAAACCAAAAACTACACAAGAAAGCTCTGAAATAAGTATTTCCACCACCAGAGAAAAAACCCAGTACCTTCTGCTCGATTACATATACAGGCAAAATATCAACAAAAATAGCCAAATACATAAAAAAGAAAGGAATAACACCAGTTTTCAGAACAAGTAACAACTTAGACAAATATATTAAAAACAACAAGAGCCAAAATAAAAAACACTTACACAGTGGTGTGTACAAACTTAAATATGGCGACTGCCCAAAAACTTACATCGGACAAACTGGTAGAAATTTTAATAAATGAATAGCAGAGCATAAAAGGGCTTTCAATAATAGAAAAACAGATTCTACATACGCACTTCACCTTCTAGATCATAATCATTCTTTTAATGACGAATTTAAAATTCTTCACATTTAAAATAAATGCCTTAAGCTATCTTTGTTAGAATCTCTGGAAAATGGAAATCAACAAATTAAAAAACAGATATAATTCTGAATGAACAACTTGAGACAAATAGTTCTCCACTCCTCAACCTATTTCATTAAAGACTATAAAGTGTAAACGCATGCCAAAAATAGATCACTTGAGAAAGGCAATCAGCCGAAACAGCTGTAGTGATAAGAGTTTAAAATAAATTTTGTAGTTTTGAAAACAAAGTTTTCAGTGTTTCATTGTTACATAAAACATAAAACTAAATATATTTCATATAACAAATTGTACCAAAATCATCAATAGTTTTGATATAAAAATATTCATTTAAACACCCTTAATAAACCTAATATAAATGACAAAAAATTATTTAATAAATTACAATTAATTGTCTTTATTTGGAATGATCTGTTGTTCAAATAATTTATCTGGATTTATTAAACTTCTGTTTTCTAAGTGTTTATTTCAAAGGCAATCTACAACTACTTTTTCCCTTCTCTCGTTATTTTTTAAAAATAAATAAGAATTACCTTCCTGAGCAAAATACAGTAACTTCGGTACGGCACAGCTCAAAGCTCCCAGACTTCAAATATTTCCTTTCTTCTTTAATTGGTACCAAGCTATGTCACAGTTCTTATAACAAATTGCTATTCGGAATATCTGAATCCTGTAGTCTCATTCGAACAAACAATTTATGACGCAATTAGCCAATTCAATACAAATCAAATTAACTACGGGCACCAAAACTGACTATCTTCATCCCATCTTATATCCTCATTTAACCTTCATCGGACAGTCCTCAAAATATTACACAAAAGACGCGCCTGAGTTTGAACGGATCCTATTCTTAAATGGTTGAATTATGCTTATACGAAAAAAACTGTACCAGTAACACATTATTTTAATAGTAGTGAACATTTATTAGATTAAAGCATACACATTACTACAAAGTACATTCTACTGCTGCCGCTAACAGACTTAATAACATCTAGATACTATTGTACAATGTACACAAACTATCTCTGATTTTGCGTGTTCTAGACATACAAAATTGTTACATTTTACACATATTTTACTATATAGTTTTTCTGTCTGTGCCTCTAGGACACACATGACACCGCCCCCTTGTATTTTTTGTTTGTTCTACTCTGTGCTCAGTAATATTCAAAAGTTCTGGGAATACATCTGCCATATATGACGCTTTTTATTCTTTTCGATGTGCTTATTGTTATAACGTCTGAAAACATCCTTTAAAGTTCCTTGCCCAGTGTCAAAATGTACATTTTACGCTTACTCATATTATACTTTTTCTAATCAGGATATTTTAGTAACCACAATTTATAGGAATTATTACCTGCGGCATCACTAAGATGAGGGACTATAGCTATCGGCCAACGGTTTGTTTTTCTTTGTACCGTATATTCTTTAGCTAACTTATCGGTTGTATCGACGGCTCCTTTCGTTTTGTTGTAATGTAGAATAATTTCAGGTTTATAGGAGTGTTCTTCACCAGCCACTTTGTCGTCAACATGCTCACTTGAAAGTAAGATGATTGCAGTTCTTGGTTTTGGAACGTTCGATGTTTTCTAAAAGCAAACATACTTAAATAATCTGTTTTATTTATATGAAGATTGTAGAAGCTCCCTTGGAATAAACGTGTTATTTTTTCGAAGAGTGCCACATAGTGCCATTTTCTTCTTCCATAACTGATCCGCAAGTTGTAAACTCGTAAAAAAATTGCAAGTTGTTATTCCAAACCCTGCTTCTAAATGGTCTATCAAGTCTAGGACAACTCTTTGGCCTTGAGCTTTTTCCGCCTTAGAACCTTGTTTTCCTAAAAATTAATAGATTTAAAAATTTGCTTATTTTCTTATTGGCAATTCAAAAACTTACCCAAATAAATTTGCATGTTAACAATAAAAGAAGTAGTGCAGTCCACAAGGGCCCATATCTTTAGTCTGTACTTGTCAGGTTTGCTCTTCATATAAACTCGGAATGGTGCTTTACTTCTAAAAGGCACGAGCTGCGCATCTACACACAGATGGTCGCCTGGATTGATTAAGTGATTTCTTATAATTAGAAATAAAAATATCACATACATCTCTTATTGGGGCCAGTTTATCTACTGATTTTTGTTCTTGTCTGGTTTTAAAATTGTCAAAACGTATCAATGAAGTTATTTATTTGAACCTATCTCTAGACGTAGCAGCTGGTATTATAGGACGGCAGTAAGCAATATCGTCACACCAAAGCATATCGATCGCCTCTTTCGATCCATGAAAAGCTCCAAGTATAAGTAATACTCCAATATAGGCTTGAATCTCTACATAATCAACACAAACATACACTTTAGTTTTATTTTGTTTTCACTATTCCATTTATCGTAATACGCTTGAGCCTTCCGAGTAGTTTCCATTACAATTATGTTTAGAGTTTCGTCTGAAAAAAAGGAAAGCGTTTTTGGTACTTGGTATATCATCACTGTAATTTGTAAGTCCTAGAGCATATCTACGAATACGAATATTGGCCTTTCGCATTTTTCTCAACTTTGTTTTTAGGCAATCTTGACCACTCAGTTCCATCTTTAGATACACATACAGGTAAGCCTTCGGAGTCAGTAACTGTTGGTTCATTTTGCTCTATGCTTTGATCAATAATAAGGTCATTTTCTTCTTCTATCCCCATTACATTGTCTTCATCTTCTAAATCACTTGCTGTATCCTCATTGATATCAAACTCTCGATCATCACTTTCAAGTAAACGTAAGAGTTCATCTTCACTCAATTGCTTTCGGGTAGACATAAATAAAACAACTCATGTTCAGAATTTTATGCAATATTCAGAAATACGACAAGAAACCAACTGACACTGGAACTCGATATATTTATATTATTTCGTTAAATTTTATCGCAGCTTGGGGAATTCCCCATTTAATCATGTAAAACTCTTACATAAAACGATAGTACACTCATAGGTACTAATCCGTAAAATCTATGGGATTCCCATATTATTACAACTTTATTAGAAATAATTTTATATGACATAAAAAGCTGGCCGGGATATTAGGAGACCCCAGCCTATAAAATTGAAGTTTAAATTTAATCTAACTGTTAAATGTTCTTGTAGGCATAATTTTTTATCAATACAATATATATATATATATATATATATATATATATATATATATATATATATATACTACAGGTAGATGGAAGACTGCCGATTAAAAATTAAGATCTATAAAGTAACAGCCAAAAATTGTGATCTGCGGTCAACATAGACCCCAGCCAGTCCGATGAAGTTTAATAAATTGGAGGTCTTCGAAATGTGGACCTTGCAAAGAATGTGGAACCTTGAAAGACAGTCTTAGGAAGGACAAACACTGAGAGAAAGAGAAAGAGAGAGAGAAAGAAAGAGAGAGAGAGAGAGAGAGAGAGAGAGAGAGAGAGAGAGAGAGAGAGAGAGAGAGAGAGAGAGAGAGAGAGAGAGAGAGAGAGAGAGAGAGAGAGAGAGAGAGAGAGAGAGAGAGAGAGAGAGAGAGAGAGAGAGATACTCAACTTAATCAAGGTACGATAGGAAAATTGGATACCTGGACCATATTCCGAGAGAAAAAAATACACAATTCCTCAAATAATTGTCCAAGGCAAGATTGAGGTCAGGAGAGGAGTAGGTCGCAGACGAATGTCGTGGCTACTAAATATAAAGAACTGGATAGGCATGCGTAACACAGACGTCTGGTCTTAGATAATTCCCTATATAATAACACACTATAGGTGCACGGCACTATAAGAAGAAGAATTTTATATCTTGAATGGTTAGACGGTAGATGTTTGACAAAGCTTTTGGTTATATTCAATAATTCTGTCTGGTCTGTCGATTTTCTGTTTTATAGCTTTATTATTATAGACATTAATAAATTAAATATAAATGTCTAATAATGCCTTGTCTTTATTGAACATTGAGCATTGTGCTTCTGTGGCATTAATTGTTGACACACATTTAAAAGTTGTTTTTTTGTCTTTATTACTTAGTACCATTGCGATAATATATTATCTCAATGATCCTACATAAATATATAAAG